ACAAACAAAAAGCTTACTGTACCTCTCTGTTCTGGTCGGTACACACTCCCGACATTCATACTGGGGTTCTCAAGGGCTGAGTTTGGAGAATTTCTGCCTGGAGGAATGGGCTGCAGGAAAGGAGGCTGGGGTCTTCCAAACGGAGGAAACTGCTCATATTGAGGGCTCCTGACTGGTGGTTGACCAACTGGTCCTGGCCTGTCCACTACAACGGGAGCGGCCTGGTTGCTATCGGGGGCTGGGACAGCAGGAGCAGATTCCTCATTGAAGAGACTGTGTGTGTATCTATGGTCCAGACCATCTGCAAACGGTGGTTGGGCAGCACGTGCAGGCACCACAGGATTTGGCGCGTAGCCGTAAGATTGGTAGTAACGGTAACCATCGTCAGTAAAATCAGAGGGCGAGCCCGGGAGCACTGGGGCCAGACCACCACCTCCGTATCCTCCTCCTCCAGTATACCCGCGTCCGGCACTATGCCCTCCACCACCATATCCTCCACCAACAACAGGCTGAAAAGGTGGCTCGTAGCTCCTGACTGGTCCCTCCACAAAACTAGGGTCGTAAGGTACTGGTTGGAAGGGAGTCTGTGGAGGAAATGGGAACTGTGGGTAGGATGGTATATGATAAGAAGATGAAGAAAAGGATGATGATGACGATGAAGATGAGGAGCCTGTGGATGGCCTAATACGAGTACTAGAGGATCCCTGGAACTGACCACCACCTGTGCTGCCTGCAGTTTGTCTCCAGTTATCAGGCACTTGCCCAAAGCCAAAAGGATGCCTTGCTTGACCACGTACTGTCTCAGAGGATCCTCTTGATGGAGCCTGTCGACGGACATTGCCTCCCTGAGGTCTACGTGAAGAGTGTAGACGAGTATCTGCTACAACTACCCTGGGACCTCTGTCCTGAGCACCCGCTCCAGCAGGGACATATTCAGCTCCACTGTTCAGCAGGCTAAACACCCGGCCATTGTTCTCCCATTGAATCATCTGCCTCCAAGGGGTGGCAGAGCTGTCCTGCCCCTGGCCCCGGTTCTGGCTCTGCCCCTGAGTCTGTGTGGCAACCTGAGCTTGCCCTGAGCCCAGCAGGACGAATACCAAACATGCCTCAACAATAGGCAACATACTGGCTCCAAACACGCCACAGCTCACCACACAGGAAAAAAACCCTTTCAGTCCACCAGCCGCTTAAACTCAAACCACCTGTGGCTCTGTCAATAAAACATGTGTATCCTCCTCCCGCGGGTACAGCTTTGGTGTGAGTGTTGAGACAGATGCAGGGTTGAAAAGTAAGCCTGTGGTTGAGTGCATCTGCAGGTCTTCACTGCCAGTAGTAGAGGAGGTTGAATGTGCATTCAGGAGCAATCACACCCAGGAGAATGAAAGTGAGCTTCAGAAGACTCACTGGTGGTGTTACCGTCTGTTAATGCTATGAGAATATGTCCTGACTTCTTGACGGTCTGCTAGCTCGCCTGTCAGTAGACTGAGCATTGCTCTCTGTGTTCTGGAAAGAAGTGCCTGTGCACTGCACGACTGCAAGCCTCTATTTGCCTGATTGCTTACAATGGGCTGTGAAAAAATCTCAAACTTTTTTTTTAAGGAGAGGTCCCACATGGCCCTAGTGCTAGTGATGTTTCCTGGCCTGCAGCAGCCAGGGCTCCATGAGGCTTCCAGAATCAACATTACCATCTGCAAAGGCATTCAGACATATAACACATCTCACTTTCAATGGCCTGAGTCATTTTCTCATGTTGTACAAGCATAGATAGGGACAATGTGACTAACATTTTTTCCACAGGTGTTTCAAAGGCCTGTTAGGTTATTTTGCCTTTAAACCTTTAAAAAGTAAAATAACTATGTGAAGATGTGAAATTACCTAATTGGTAACAGGGGCATCTTGTCTCAAAGATTCAGTGACGCAATCCACCAAATAAACAACAGGTTCTTTCTAACTGAATACTGCTGTAGGATATGACATAAAGCACTGTTGACGTACAAGACGTCATTGTGTGTGTTGTTTGCACAATGAGCAAATAATCAGGATATACTGTCTGGTAATATGCAATGTGACCACATAAACAAAATAATGTTGACCCTCCAACACAATTCCCTGTTCATGTGGTGGATATGTTGGGAAATGTGCTCTGTCTACCCCACCCTAAGAAATATCAAACTGAAGTCAATTAGGAAAGTGTTCAAAGCCCTCCTCCCACTGAACACTCACACACACACACACACACACACAAACATACACAACCTCGCTCCACCCCTCATTCCTCTTGTTGCTTGTAGTACACTGAATGCACAAAAGACATGCATACATGCAAAGCTCCCCAACAAGATAACACTGTGCGTGCTGTTGTCTGAGAGTAGTATCAAAGCACTGTTGCACTCCGAGACCCTCATTTACACAAATGTTCTGAGAGGCAAGTCATTAGTAAACACATTCATGTGGGATTTGAAACAGCAGTTACTGCTTGCCTTGATGGAGTGCATGCAGACAGAATCAGATTTCTCCCCGTTATCAAAGTCAGCAGTTTGCAATGTATTTTACTTGGCATGGCTTGCATGGGCAACGGCCACAATGAGCCTCAGACCAAAGAAAGGACAACATTCCTCCAGGGGTGTAGCAGTCAACATTCACTCTGCCTCTTTGAAACAGGATCTAGAAAAACAACCTGATGCACACATGCTGATTTCAAATTTTGTCTTCTCCCACAAACAGGCAAATGTACTGCAAAGAGATCCATCCGTATAATTTCTGCACAATAGAATGTAGTGAGTAAGTCTTTGGGGGGAATGATTGGCCATGAGAGTGAAGCAGAGTGCATCAATATGGATATTATAGCATTACTACTATGCTGCACTATACTGTACAGTACATCACATCTGGGTCTACAGATATGAACTGTTAACTCATACTACAATGACTCAAAACACATTTAAAAATGGCTAATATATTCACGACTGAAGAGCAAACATTTTTGACTTGACATTGTAAATTTCAATGTTAACACAAGTCGATTTATTTTTGTCAGTCAACAGCTTATTAATCAGTTAGTTATTAGTTATTATGTAATAATTTGTGAAAAAGGTGTACAAAGTCAGCCTATTTATGAAATGTATCCAAGATCAAACCTTAAGTTGCTGTGAAGGATAATTATAAGATCAAAATAAGAATTTCTAAAAGGTAAACAAAACTACGTCTATCCTTGTACTGTATGTTCAGCATTACATTTTACCATCAGTACAACTACTACTATTAGAACTATATCTTCTTTTTTTTAAAGTATTTTCTTTTCACTACAGTGTGTTTGGATGTTTTTGCTGTGGTACCTTATGAGGGGTTTTTACTTCAAAGTGACAAAATGGAGAAATTCCTTGTGGAAGGACAGTGTCAGATTCCTCTGAGCTTACACTGTCACACTTTGTTTAGTGCTTAGATAGAAAGCCAGGGTTCTATCTATCTTTTGGATCAGTCTCGTTTTCATCTCCTTGTATTACATGCCCTTAGACTTTTTTTATTATTATATTCAGCTTGAGGGTTGTATTACATGCCCTTAGACTTTTTTTATTATTATATTCAGCTTGAGGGTTTTTTTCTTAATTACAGATTGATCCCAGGGGATTTTCCTCACCGACAGAAATTGTTGCTTTAAAGAGGCAGAGCAACATCGAGCCTTAGAATGACTTGAAATCCTGTCACTGAGACATACCACAGAGATTAGTCTACGTTGTGAGGCAAGGTTGGTTGTTTTTGTGTGACTGCTGTGTGTGTCTCCTGTCTGCTGGAAACACCATGTACTCTGTGAAGTTCGGTGAAAGAACACATTGATCTGAGTGACTGTGCGGCACAGGAGGAAAGCCCAGGGAGCAGGCGTCCTGCTGAGAGCAACCTTTAGCTGCACAGAGCTAGCAATGCTCTTATACTTTGAACTACATTCATCCTCCGAGTCATTGTAGATGGAAGTTCTCATAGGTGATGTTACAACAAACTTATCAGTGTTTTTAGGTCAGAATTCTATTCAATATAGTATATTGGGCAATGATATAACAAGCACAAACAAACACAATATGTTTCAAACCAAACTTCCTGGTTCCTGGTTTTGTAAATGAAAACTTTACCTTTATCTAACAAGGGGATGAACGATTTTTTAATCAGGCCAGATACCAATTTTCTTCTGTCAAAAGAGAAGCTTGTTCTCTATGGAAACATGTTTTGCACAGTGCAAATTTCATGCTAATTTTGACAGCTGTCAACACGAGAGCACATAAACAGAAGAAATATCAAAATTATGGACCAAAAAAATCTTTCTTTCTTACAAGAAAAAATCTTTCAACTTTGCAGCTGTCAGATGTTGCAAGAGTTGCGTTTTGCAATATACTTATTTGATCCTTCCTTATTCCAAAAGTCAATTGTCTGATATACAAATGAAAGATAGATGAAGAACATGCAGAACAACTGCATAAACCAGATTGGCTGCCAATGTCTAACAGCTCCTATCCTGCACCAATACATTTTAAGGATTTACTACGGAACAAAGTAGCTACGGTTCAGCAAACATGTTGTTAAAAACTGAGACTTCTGTGATGGCTAAATTTGTGTGTTCATTGTCAGACATTATGATAAACCACTTCCTGAAGTCTGTGAAGAATTTGACACATTCAGCATTTTGTTGTCCTACAGCTTCCCTTCTCGTCTATAATCTGCTTTAAAAACATTAAAAGATTGCTGGGGCTGCATTTTCTGTGGAACATTTCTAACAAGTTTTGCAAATAATTTTTTGGGTCATGGTGTTTTTTTTTTTATTATTATCAAATCCAAACATTAAGGAATGTGCCTTTGTTGTTTAGAAGGATTGATCTGATTTGTCATGTAGGTGTTAAAATAGGTGCGTTAAATTATTCAGACACAGCTGCAGTAAAATGAGTTTATTGTACAGTGAAAGCAGTAAGTGTAACAATACAAGAGATATTATGTTCACTGACTTAGCACTATTGCTAAGTTATAAAAACAGAAACGTGGACGCCAAAATGACAATACAAAGCCAAAGCAAGTAGGCACTTTGTGATTGTAACAGTCATAAAGAGAGACTGGTAGTTTGACCCTGTAATATTACAAAACTGGTACGCATCCCTTGTCTTTCATCTGCTTTACTCTACATTGTCTCTAATATAAAGTAATTACTTCCACCTTTACAATCCTAACTTCCACTTTGCAATGGCAGAGACAACAGCTGAGGTTGGCGATTGCAAGCACATTTGGTCATACCGTTGGAGCAGTCAGCCTTTGAAGTACCCACCTGCTTTCCATTAATTTAATTTTCATTCAAGGAGAGTCATCAAGCACCTGCACTCTGTTCTTGGCTCAGTATCAGATATACATGAGACAGAAACAATAAAAATTCCTTCAATCACAGGATCATTTAAATATGTTTTTCCTTCTTAGCTCAACATCAAAATGATCCTTGTCACCTTAATTTTAAAAATACACTAAGAGAAGGATTATTATACACCCTGAGTGTAGTTCAGCAAATTATAATTTTTCTTGGAAGTTTTCTTTTCTCTGTGCATATTTGTAATGTCTAAAAATGTGATTACACAACAACAGGACTCAATTATGAGGTCCTAAATGCATGCTGTGAATAAGTGTAATGACTAAAGTTCAACATTACAAGATACAGTAAAAACTAAACGATTGCAGCGAAGGATCTTGTTAGACAACACCACTTGTGTCATAGTATACATTAAAGCAATATAGAATTTTGCTGAAGTGTTATGGCATATGGTATTTTCATTATATTAAGGTGTAAGGGCAAAGATGGTCTTGATTGTTCTCAGAGGGACCATTTTTGACAAAACACAGCTGCATACATCATTTAGATTCTGTTAATCAATTGGATAATCAAGGAGGTATAAATGTAGGAGAAACAACACATGGAGATGTAGGAATGTGTTTTATACACCAAATGTATACATTCTGATGTATAAAAAGGTCATATGTCACTACTACTCTACTTAAACAGGCAACATATTTGCTTGAAGACGGACATACGTATTACCTAACTCCATCTATAATTAAGGCACGAAGTTCACAGAACCTTCAAAATACAGGGTACCTAGGAGGTGGGTGGTGGAAATCAGGGGGATCAGATGGGAAGGGAGGACAGAGAGATAATTGCCTAACAGGTACATAGCTTTGACAATGGCCCACAGTGTTGTGACATTAGGGGGGAAGTGATGTGATTAATGTTAAAGTCTGGGTGAGGTTAGTCAAGGGAACCACAAGTGTTATATCTGCGAGATATCTGTGCTTGTCTGGTGCTGATGAGTATGTTACATTAATGAAATTGAGTGTATAGCAGAAAAAAAACATGCAATTGAGCAAAGCCCTGATATGAATTAACACACACACATACCTGGCTCATACATCCATACATGGATAATACAGCGGATAGTATGCATTTGAACACCCCAAAGCTTTATTATTCCTCTCATGCTCCTTCCATAAATAAGCCAGATTTCATGAGTTAT